GTTATTTTCCTTCTTCTTTTTCTTCTTCCCTTCTCTGCTTTTCACTCTCTCTTCCTTTTTTTTGGTTTTGCTCTCTCTCTCTCTCTCTCTCTCGTTCTCGTGCACGCACGGTCTGCCCGCAGTCGCTGGAATGCTGGAAGAAGTGCTCGTTCCCGATGCCGTTCTTTTACACTGTCTGCGTGTGCGCGGCCGACTCATTTGGTGGAGCCGCACTGGTTCACTCCGGGCGTGTTCCTCCAAATGGGTGGGCTCGTCGGGCTCTCGGATCAGAGGGCAGTTGTGGAAGCTCAGCTGTGGGACCCTCATTGGGTGCGCGTTGCAGTGTCGGAGAGGGGTACTGGAGAACGGTGCGCATAGGGTGTGATGACTCATCCACGCTGGGGAGCCTCACTGGTTAACTCCGGGTGTGTTCCTCAACGTGGGTGGTCGTTTTTTTGTGATCAGGGCCCGCGTTTGTAGATGGGCACGTTTTGTGGGCACGAGCATTGAGTCAATTTCGGTTGTGGTCAGGGATGTGGTTGGGCGAGCAGGTGCGTTGTTTATCTTGGAGGGGCGTGTTGCGAGGGTGTGGCTGCACAGGCTTGTCATGCAGTGTTTGCCTTTTTTTGGTGGGGTACGTGTGGTCTCTCCCTTTCTCTCTCTCTCTCTCTCTTCCTCTGTGTCTGTCTCTGTCTCTCTGTTCTTGTCTCGCTGTCTCTCTCTCTTTCTTTTTCTCTCTCTCTCTCTCTGTGTCTCTGTGTCTCTCTTTCTTTCATTGTCTCTCTCTCTCTCTCTCTATCTCTCTCTTTTTTCTTTCTCTCTCTCTCTCTCTTGTTGTTCTCCCTCTTTCTCTTGTGTTCTCTCTCTCTCTCTCTCTCCCTCGCGTGTTTCAGTCACTAACTGTCTCTCTATATACTTCCGCGGCAGAGCTGTTATCTTGGTTGCTGCAAAAGCGTGGACTGCAATATAGTTGTCGGTGCGGCGGGGTGAGTGGGTGTCGGCGGGCACTGCGTTTCGGTATTTTTGGTTTCTTTGTTGGTGTGCGTGTTACATGGTGTTGGTGTTGCCGCAGTGTCGTGGCTTTTTGGCGCCAAGAGCGTGGCGGAGGCAGCGGAGGACGGTGTCGTTGGCACCAGCGGTCTGGACACATTTGCATGCTGGGGGTGGGGGGTGTCAGGGGGGTGGGGGGTGTCAGGGGGGGGGGGGTGGGGCGGTGGGTGGTGGGGGGCCCCCGGTGCGTTGGGCCAAGTAGAGATTCTTCGGGCTCCTCTCTCGTGCGCGGTTGTCGTTGCCGATTGGCTTGTGGGTCGGCTTCGAGCGATTCGCTTGTTGGGGGGGGCTCATGCGCGTGGTGTATTTGCGGTTCTGCGCGCGCGCGTGTGTGTGTGTGTGTGTGTGTGTGTGTATGTGTGTGTATGTGTGTGTGTGTGTGTGTGTGTGTGTGTGTGTGTGTGTGTGTGTGTGTGTGGTGTGTGGTGTGTGTGTGTGTGTGTGTGGTTGTGTGTGTGGTGTGGGGGTGTGTGGGGGTGTGTGGGTGTGTGTGGGGGTGTGTCGTGGTGTGTGTGTGTGTGTGTGTGTGTGTGTGTGTGTGTGTGTGTGTGTGTGTGTGTGTGTGTGTGTGTGTGTGTGTGTGTGTGTGTTTTTGTGAGTGTGTATTTATATATATATATATATATATAGTAGGTGTGTGTGTGTATGTGTGTATGTGTGTATGTATATATGTATGTATGTATGTATGTATGGATGGATGGATGGATGGATGGATGGATGTATGTTTGTATATATGTATGTATGTATGTATGTATATATGTATGTATGTATGTATGTATGTATGTATTAATGTAATGTAATGTAATGTAATGTAGTGTAATGTAATATAATGTATGTAATGTATGTAATGTATGTAATGTATGTAATGTAAGTATGTGTGTAGGTAGGTAGGTAGGTAAGTAGGTAGGTCGGTAGGTAGGTAGGTAGGTAGGTGTGTATGTATGTATGTCTGTCTGTCTGTCTGTCTGTCTGTCTGTATGTATGTATGTATGTATGTATGTATGTGTGTGTGTCAACGTACGTACGTACGTACGTGCGTACGCATGCATGCATGTATGTGTGTATATGTATGTATGTCTGTCTGTCTGTCTGTCTGTATGTATGTATGTATGTATGTATGTATGTATGTATGTATGTATGCGTTGTGCTTGCACATTAATGATCTCTTGCTGCGTTCAGTGCCGTATGTCGCTACTTCTGCTCAAGTTTTTTCCAGGAGAGGATTTCCCGGATGGGGGCTCAGTCCGCCCTCATCGAGCCCTTCCAGTCCGCAGGGATCCGCGCTCTCGAGCTGCTGGCGCTGCGCCAGTCCCTGCTCTCGGCGGTGCCCCAGTGCCCCGCTGTCTCGCTGGCGTGCCCGCCCGCGAACGTCACGTGCCCCGTCCAGGTCTCCCCAGCGCTGGCCTGCCCCACGCCAGCGTGCCCCGTGCCGCTGGTGAACCTCTCCTGCCCGCCTGCAGGAGTGGCGCTCGGGCCTGACGGGCTTGACGTGCCCTCGGCCTGCTGGGGCTACCTGGCGGGAGTCTCCGCGGGGCTCGGGCTGGGCGGATCGCCCCCGTGACTCATCCCTCAACCCCCCAACCCCCCGGCCGGATTTCTTTTCTTCTTTCCGCGGGGGGTCAACCTTCGCGGCGACCCGTTAAACCCGAGACCCCTGGCGGCGCATGGATTTCTTTCCTTCTTCCCCGCGCGCGTTGCCGTTGGAACCCCTGAACCCCTCCGACTACCGTACAACTCGTACTGGGTTCCCAATATATAAGCCCGAACCCAACCCCAAACCTCACCGGCTGTAATTCAGTTGTTCCCGTACTGATACAAATCCCTAGTGCAACCGCGATTAAGGTGTTGTTGCATTGCACTTACAGTCTCGGCTCTCACGCTTTTCTTCCTCTGGTTGCGCTTGGGGGGGTGGGACCCCTCGCGCGGGCACCCCCGCGGCTGGGAGTTCATTCCTCTTCCGGAATTTGAGGGGGGGGTTATCCCCGTGCTCGAACCCCATCGCCAGGGTTTTTTTCTTTCCTCCGCGGAAACCGGACCCCCTGGGTTCTTCGGCGCGCCCCATTTTTTTTTCTTTCCGGTTGGGCCTCCATGGGTCTTAGGTTGGAGTCACCCGGGTGATGCTGGGCGGTGCAGTCTGGCGGCGGGGCGGCCGCGCCAACGCCGAGTCGGCAGGAGTGGGAGATCGAGCGCGAGAGCAGCTGCAGCTCATCAGGAGACGCAATGGCGAGGGTAGGTGACTACGTGCTCTTCCAGTACGACTTGCCTGGACCGCCGGTGTATCCAGAGAGGCTCGTGACAGGGCTCTCGATAGGCGGTCCAGGTCTCGTCAGCACGTACTCGCCAGAGGGAGACCACTACGCAGAATATGCAACGTCTGACGACCTCAGAGATGTGCGGTGGTCGGGGGCGCAGGGCGCGACCCCGCCCGGTGTCAACCCGGCCCACGTCTATCGCTCCCGCCAGGTGCCGACGGCGGCGGAGGTCCAGCAGCTGATCCGCGAGGGCTCGCTCCTCGTCGGGGGCGTGGCGCCGCCCGCGGCCGCTGCTCCCCCCGCCGCAGCGGCGCCCGCGGCGGGTCTTCCCGCGGTGGCCGCACCACAGGGGGCCATCGTGCCTCGCGGCGCTGGCGTGGTGGGAGGGGTCCCGCGCGCGGGACCCGCGGCCGCCCCCGCAGCGGCTGGCACAGTGTGGCTGGCGATCGAGGACTACCAGGGGGTGCGGCGCGGCGAGCAGATGCCTGACCCTCTCCCGCAGGGCGCCGTCGTGCACGGGGAGCTGGCGCTGTTGCCTCATGCAGGGGGCTTCGTCGGAGCGCGCCAGGTGGCCCTAGCCGACGTGGACGCCTTCGTCGTGGACGACCTGCGCGTGCTGCCAGTGCGCTTCAACCAGCAGGGCGCGCGCCGCCGCCCATACAGCGAGGCCGTGGACATGCAGATCGTGGACGAGCCTGAGGGCGGCATCATGCTGCAGGGGCCGCGCACTACGGACTGGGTGCTGAGGTCGTATCGTGATGCCGGGCTCACGCCAGTCACTCATCATTCGAACTGGCTGAGGTCGGCGCGCATCCCTGACGGAGATCGCTCGGTTCACGAACACGAGGTTCTGTGCCACGTGCTGGAGGCGATGGTGACTGTGGACCAGCTCAATGCCCCAGCGCTTCAGAGCGCTGAGCTCGTCGTGCGCAGGATTCAGGTCATAGACGACGCTCGCTCGGCCTCTCCCTCGAACCCGGACTACCCCGCGGCCGACGAGTTCATGGGCTGGGCCACTCATCGCCAGGGCGCCGCGGTCGCGCCCGACCGGCAGCGCCACGTTGCCGCGGGCATGCGCGACCGGGCCGCGATCCTCAAGGAGGCTCGCAAGGCGAAGGAGGAGCAGAAGCTGCGCCGCGGCAAGGGGGGCGGCAGGACCGACGCCAGCGGTACTGGCGGGCAGGGGGCATGACGGCTCCCAGTCGCGGTGGCTGGCCGGCCCGCGACGTACACAAGGCCTGTGGTGCCTCGGCGGCACGCACCTTCCGTCCTCGCACTGTTCCTGGCGCTGAGGGTCGTGGGGTACCGACCGACTGTGGCCGCGGGGGCCCAGCAGCACGCACCTCACGTCCTCCAGCCAGGGCAGGCTTCGGGGATCGCGAGGTACCGACAGTCCGAGGATCGTGTGACATGGGACGCCCTCCTGGGCTGAGAGCAGCTGAAGATCGCCAGCGTGATCTGTTCCCGCTGCCCTCCCTTCAGCCGGCTCCGCCTACTTCTGCGCCAGCGTCTACGTCGACGAGGCGAAGGCTGGCTCACAGGCGGCAGACGGAGCAGTGTGCCAATGATGCCATTGCGGGCCTCGCCGCTCTCCATCCTCCTTGCGAGCAGCGTGGGCCCACCACGGCGGCTCAGCGACTCGCGACCGCCACCTTTTTGAACGAGGTCAGGACGGCCCCGAAGTCTGACACTCACTTTTCTCGCCGTGGAGCCGCGGAGGAGCTCCTGGCCTCCAGCCTGTCCTGCACCGCGGACGAGGCACCAAGTCCCGTGGTAAGGTACGTCAGATCCCGAGTCGACATCCCAGAAGTGGGTGCGGTCATACCTCCTGTCGAGTCGGTGCTCGACGGGATCGGGAGGAGCTACGTGCTGGACTACGAACAAGCGATGATGAAGACTCCTGACGAGTGGTCCCGCGTCTTGAATAGAGAGCCGCCCGTCACTCCCTACACGGACGAAGTTTTCAAGCGTGACCCTGTGGCGTACAACACCTTCATCGGCGACCTGGTGAAGGCTAACATGCTGGGTTCACGTACCGCCCGAAGGACCTGGTCACCCCTTTCTTCGTGGCCAAGAAGAGTGGAGCACAGCGTCTTGTCTGGGACGCTAGAGTGCCAAATCGACGTTTTCGCGACCCGCCGCCGCTGGCCATGGGGACATCGGCTGCGTACGGTCGCCTCCAGCTACCTGGTGATCGTGAGGAGGACGGCAGCTTCAGCACCAAGCTCTTCTGTGCCCAGGCTGATGTGCGCAACTACTTCTACGCTCTCGGCCTGAGGGAGGAGCTGGGACTGCTCTTCTCGCTGCCGCCGGTGTCACAGGCTTCCTTGTCGCAATGGGGGGTTGAGGCAGTGGACACTCCCGAGGGCCCCTCAGGGGGCTGGGTCTGGCCGTTCCTGCGGGTCGTGCCGATGGGCTGGTCTTGGGCTTTCTGGCTTGGGCAGCGTGCGAATGCGCACGTCTGCTGCTCTGCCTCGGGGCTCGGGTTCCCGCGGGTGCTGACCGATCACGGTCCGGTGCCCCCGCTCGACGAGGGGGTCCCTTGCCTCCTACCCTATTGCGATAACATCAACGTCATCGGCACCGACCCTGTCAAATGCAATGTCCTGATGCACCAGATCTGCGACGCCTGGAGGAAGCACGGCGTGCAGATCCACGAGGTGGTTGAGGCCACCGACGTCTTCACCAGCCTCGGCCGCCTGATCGACGGCGCGTCTGGGCGAGTTTTCTCACGGCCCGAGCGCCCCGAGCGCCTCCGCCAGGCCTCACTGTGGCTAGAGCAGCGCCCTAGAGTCACGGGGAGGGAGGTGGAGAGGTATGTGGGTCATCTCATTGATCATTTGATGCTGAAGAGGGAGCTGCTCTCGATCCTCAGGAGCTTGTATGATTTCGTCAGAGATTGCTATCACGTGCGAGCCCGTCTCTGGCCCTCAGCTGCCCGCGAAGTCGAGCAGTGCCGTCGCTTGCTGCCGCTGATGTCTGCTAACCTTCGGCTTCAGTGGTCGCCGACGGTCTTCGCCTACGACGCTTGCCTGACGGGTATGGCGACGTGCCAGACAACGCTGTCATCGGATCTTGTCAAGCGCATCGGGTCAGTCAGTGAGAGATGGAGATATCGCATGCCTTCGGCTATCTCGGCACGCCGGTCAGCTCTGGGAGTCCGTTCTGGATGCTACGAGGCCTCGGAGGGGCCGTTCGACGTCTTCAGCGACATCGAGACCGTCAAGGCCCCCGGGAGCACCAGCATGGACCTTGTCAAGGACCCTTGGGAGCTCAACCCGCAGTTCACAGAGGTGCCCGTCCAGGCTCTGCAGGGCCTCCAGTGGAAGCAGGTGGTCTCGGCCAGGGTTCACGTCAAGGAGCCCATCACGATTATCGAGGGGGGGGCTTCGAACATGACATCACGTCATATCACAAGGGCACAGGCCTCCTTTGGTCTCCGTCATCTGCGTTTCGGGGACAACCTCGGCACCGTGCTCGCGCTCGGACGTGGGCGATGCTCCTCCTATCCCCTTCTGCTGTGCTGCCGCAGAGAGGCTGCCTACTCCGTCGCCACTGCGTCGCGGTTCGAGCATCGGTGGATACCTTCGGAGCTTAACCCCTCCGATGAAGGGTCGAGGCGCTGGGATGCCAAGTCGGGAGGTATCTCGCCTGCCCCGCGCGGTGGCCGTCAAGCGCCCGGCTGCCAGCCCCAAGATTGTGCAGAAGAGCATCTTGAAGGGCAGGCCGTTCGTTGGGGCGACGAAGGAGGAGAGGATCGCTCACCGTTTGCGGGCCTCTGGGCCGTTCGCGATGGTGGGGGAGGACGAGAGGAGCTTCCTGGAGTGGAACGCGGTGGCGCCCGAGACCCAGGCATACTACAAGGACGCCCTCGACGACTTCCAGACGTTCGTGGACCTCTTCGAGCGGCCGCTGCACACCGCTGATCAGGTCGACCTGGCGCTGATGAACTACGCCGATTACGCCTGGAGCATCGGGCTCGAGAGAGCCGCCGTCCTGAAAACATATGCCGCGTACATCTCGGCGCTCCCCGACTTTTCCCGAAAGGGGTCGCTCCGCCTGCCGCGTTTCTGTCGGGCCCTCCAGGGCTGGAAGCGCCTGGGCCCAGGCCAGACGCGCCCGCCGATGCCCTGGCAGGTGGTCGCGCTGGTCGCACTGGTGATGGCCACGCAGCTGGGGTCCCCGCACGCGGCGCTCATGGTGGTGACGATGTTCTGGGTGTACCTCAGGCCCTCCGAGGCCGTCGGCCTGCGCGAGCAGGACCTCTTCCTCCCCTCGGGCTCGTGCACGGACTACGGCTTCAACCTGCACCCCAGCGCGAGGGGCGAGTACAGCAAGACCAGCATGTCGGACGAGAGCTTGCTCCTCGATTCGGTCGAGGTGCCCTGGCTGGGCCCGCTGCTGGCGCGCGCGAGGTCGGGAGACCCGCAGGCGCCGCTGTTCCGTCTCACCGCCGCGCAGCTCGGCGTCCTGCGGCGCCAGTCGCTGGAGCGGGCCGAGGTGCCCACCAGGTGCGTGCCCTACCAGCTCCGCCACGGGGGCCCGTCGCACGATCGCCTCAAGAGGTATCGATCCATGGGCGAGATCAAGAGGCGCGGGCGGTGGGCCAGCGACTACAAGATGAAGCGCTACTAGGCCCATGCGCTGGCGCAGCAGGAGCTCGCAGCGCTCCCGGACGACGTCCGCCGCAGGGCCGAGGCGGCGCCCGCGAAGCTGCACGCCGAGCTCGAGAGGCTCCTGGCGCGGCCCCAGAGGCCGCGGACGGCCGCGCCGTCGGCGCGGCTGCAGGCGGCGCCCGCGCCCAGCATGCGCCGCCCCGCACCTTCTGCCAAGGTGCCGCAGCCCGCGCCCGTGCCAGGCCTTTCGTCGAGCTCATGTGCGGCTCCGCCGCCTTTGCCAAGGCCGTCCACGCCGCCGGCTGGGCTTCGGAAGGCTGGGACTACGCTGATGACCCGCGAGCCGACCTTCTTGATGAATCCCTCATCGACAGTCTGGTATTGAGGATCTCACGGAAGGAGGTCGCGGGGGTGCATGTTGGCCTGGACTGCAAAACGTGGAGCCGGGCAAGGAAGAATGATGGACGGGGTCCGCCGCCACTCAGGGACGACGCGAACGTGCACGGCCTCCCTCGGCTGGCGGCGGCGGACGCAGAGAAGGTTAGGATCGCCAATCGTCTGCTCGCTAATGTTCTGCGCCTGCTGGCTGCTGCCGTCGAGGCGGGAGTCCCTTTCTCTCTCGAGAACCCTCGCTCGTCTCGCCTCTGGCTGGTCCCGGAGCTTCTGGACAGGGCCCGCGAAGCTCACGCCGAGTGGGCTTCTGTTGACTACTGCCAGTATCAGGTCCCCTGGAAAAAGTCGACAACCTTTTTGCTATTCAATTGGCTGCCAGCGCAGCCGTCCCTCCGCCTGCCGGGTGGCTCCGTATGCTCGGAATCGGCGATGCCGAGGCCCCGAATGCCCACTCGTGCGCACGTGATAACTAATGTGCGCCGTTTCTCCCGAGCCCTCCCGAACCCCCCCGAGGCCTCGAATCCTCGTAGCACCCGGGCGGATGAATATACTTTCATAGGCCATGCACGCGGCGATTTTCTTCAGATGTCCCACGCAAGCCGGACTGAAATTCCAAATGACGCGCCTCAAGGTACAATGTTAATTTCCATGTTCCCGTCGGCCCATAACGCGTTTTAATGTAGGATGTTCCGTGTATTTTTTAATTATATGTATTAACTCCTATAGAACTATATAGTTTTCCTGGGGCCATGTTATCGCCTGAATTTCACCACGACAACCTTTTCGTGGCCACGAAAACATGTTTTTCGTTGCGCTCGTGGCATTAATTAAAGGGCCAGAGATTTCAAATTAAAGATTTACGAAAACCACGAACATCTTTTCGTGGCGCGCGACAAATTTATAAGCGCGCCGTGGGGTTCCACGAAAACCACGAACCTTTTTGTAGCGCTCGTTGAATTTTCGCTGCGCGAAATGACATGTCACCGTCGGCCTCCTTAAAGGCCCCCAGAATGTTTAAACTCAGTTTTTGAAATTTATTTAAAAACGAAAACCTTTTTCGCGGCGCACGAAAACCTTTTTCGTGGCGTTCGTGAAATTCCACGAAAACCACGAAAACCTTTTCGCGCTATGTTACCGTCGGCCTCCTTTAGGAGCCCCAGAAATTTTAAAATCAGTTTTTGAAACCACGAAAACCTTTTTCGTGGCGCACGAAAACCTTGTTTTTCGTTGCGTTCGTGGAGTTCCACGAAAACCACGAAAACCTGTTCGTGGCGCTCGTAGAATGTCACGACATGCGATGTTACCGTCGGCCTCCTTTAAGAGCCACAGAAATTTTAAAATCAGTTCTTGAAACCACGAAAACCTTTTTCGTGGCGCACGAAAGCATTTTTTCGTGGCGTTCGTGGAGTTCCACGAAAACCACGAAAACCTGTTCGTGGCGCTCGTAGAATGTCACGACATGCCATGTTACCGTCGGCCTCCTTTAAGAGCCACAGAAATTTTAAAATCACTGTTTGAAACCACGAAAACCTTTTTCGTGGCGCACGAAAACATTTTTTTCGTGGCGTTCGTGGAATTCCACGAAAACCACGAAAACCAGTTCGTGGCGCTCGTAGAATGTCACGAAATGCTATGGTACCGTCGGCCTCCTTTAAGAGCCCCAGAAATTTTAAAATCAGTTTTTGAAACCACGATAACCTTTTTCGTGGCGCACGAAAACATGTTTTTTTTCCGTGGCGTTCGTGGAGTTCCACGAAAACCACGAAAACCTTTTTCGTGGCGCACGAAAACTTTTTCGCTGCGTTCGTGGAACTCAAATAAACTTTCTCTTCGCGGCATGCATGGCCAAGGAAAACATGTTCTTGCAAAGTTTTCGTGGCGCGAAAAAGTCCCCCCCAATCTGAAAATGCACGAGAGCATTTTTTCCGCGGCGTCCATTGCAAATTAACGACGCGAAAAACACATTTAAATCAAAATGACTCTTTTCGTGGCGCGTGAAGCTCTACGAAAGCCACGAAAACCTTTTCGCGGCGCGCGTGGAGCTCCGCGAAAACCACGAAAACATGTTCGTGGCGCCCGCGGGGCTCATCCATAAAGTTGTGGAAAGCTACGAGTTAAATCAAAATGGCGCGGGGGAAACTGTCCGCGGCGCGTGGCTCCACGAACAAAAAACACACACGCACAATTTACATAAAGCTCTAGCAAATCCTTGCGTGCCAACGCGAACGAAAACCCAAAAACATTTTTGCGGCGCGTTCGTGGGGGGCCACGAAAACCCAAAACAATGTCGCGGTTTTCCTGGAGCTCATGCATCAGCTATAATTTTCATGCACAAGAAGACACAATAATTTCCTTGCGGGTTTTTCCATGCGCCACAAAAGCCACAAAAACCGCTGCGTTCGTGGACCGCGAAAAGGCTTTCGTGCACCATGAAAGTTGCGCAGTTTTTTTAAATGCGCGCCTACACTTCATAGTTTGCAAGGTTGCTTCGGAACCATGTGGGGCCGTCTTGTGACCCTGTTGGGCCGTCTGTGCCGTCTTGCAAAGTGGGCCTTCGATGTCTCCCTCTTGGGCAAATCTTGTTGGGGTCTGCATGGGCCGTCTCGGGTGCCTCGTGGGCTGTCTTGGAACCCCGCTGGGTCGTCGGGGGCTCGGCGTGCCGGAGGCTACGGCCCCCGCGCTCTTCTTTCCCCTGGCCGCATGGCCGCGCCGCGGGGGCCGGGGGACATCGCGGGGCGCAGTGCCCAGGGGGCGCTATACCCTACGGGGGCCCTTGCCATGAGGGCAGCGGTTCGGGGGAGGTGGAGGATTGGAGGTTAACGAGCAATGGAAAATTGAAGACGGTGGAGGGGGGGGGGCGGGGTCTACCAGCGGTACTCGCCATCCTCTTCCCCCCCCTCCTCCTCTTCTTGGGGTTGTCCCGTGCGCGTCGCGCGGCGTGCATGAGGTCTCCCTTCCCCTTTTCCTCCCTTGCCCTTTTCTCCCTCCCTTCCCCTCTCCTCCCTCTCTCTCTCTCTGTCCCTATCCCCCCCTCCCTGAACCAAAAAACAACACCTGGGCCATGGAACGTATCAACATTCAACTGTACATGCCATAGCACGATATTGAAACACCTATAAGAAACATGGAAAACAACTTAATAATCCACAACGTAAGATAACGCGCAATGTTGCAGCGTGCGCGTGCGTGCGTGCGCGTGTGCGTGTTTTGTGTTGTGTGCGCGTGTGTTTTGGGGGGGAACGCGGGCCGCCCTTGCATCCTTGACGTCGTCGCGTGCGAAGAATCAGCGCATGCAATTATGACATATTGTGTTATGAATCGCACCGTTTGCGGGCGCTCGCAAAGATCTCGCGCCCTTCCCTACCCGCCTCCGGAACCAACGCAAAAACACAAGCACTCCTCCACCCTCCTCCTCCGTAGCCTGTTTTGGCCTTGCAAGTGCAGGGCGCTGCCATAACAACCAGCACATCTTTGAACATGGCTTTGGATGATGGACCGATTGTGGGCGATGATCGCGTTGTTTCCAGCGAGCAGGATGATGGACCGATTGTGGGCGATGCTCGCGTTGTTTCCAGCGAGCGAGAATCTGTTGTCGTTGGTGGACATGATGCAAGCGCGGGATCTGGGAAAGACTTGCCATACCAGTGCCTGGTACTTACAGATTTGGAGCAGCAGCCGAAGCCCAACGACGACGCAAGTCCTGAGCAACATCAACTCTACGAAAGCACATGCATGAGCAGCAACGTGCTATGCGACTTGGGCGCAGCAGGGCCTTTCTTTGGCATATCGGGGTTTAGTACACAGACGAAGTTCAAACCGTTTGATACGTTCGCGAAGGAGATGGACATGAATCTAGAGCTTGTGTTTTGGGGCAGCCCACACTGGGGCACAGAACGGGATGATGCGACGCGGCACTTCAAAGATTCAGCGACGTTCAAGACTAACGCATGGCAATCTATGTCATGGTTGGCGGGGTCGGCGTGCATAATGATGACATTTCCATCTTACTACAAGGTGGAATTTTGGGGGCCAACTTACCGTAAGCCAAACGAGGAAGAGACGCGGGAGCCTAGACAATTGATTGTGATGCCAGCGTATTTTCGACAGTATGTACCACTGGGGTCGGGAGACGCTTACACTGAACTCAGCGGAGGTGGTGAAAACGTCATGATTGCGATATTGTTGCCAGGCCGCTACAAAGATCAACTCACATACCACCCGGACAATATCAGATGCGACGTGGGGATGACGATGTATAAGATCTACCAGCAATTCACCGCGGCGCAATCAAACAAATATGCAATGGAATTGGGGGGTCAAACATTTTCGCTCGCCATGGAGATACATTTGGCAAGAATGGAGCAGCTTGAATTGAGCAAGGCGAAGAAACTGAAGACAAAGTAGTTCAACATTTGCGGGAATATGATTTGCGCCGACGTGCGATTTTGCTGCGTGAATTGCTACCGCTGGCTGACGCACATGGCGCCCCAACGACTTTCATGCTTGCTGCGTGATTTGGATACTGAAATTGGCTTGGGGTCGCAAGATAGCCAACGTTGCTGCAAGATGTTCAAAGGCTGTTCGGCAATCTGGAAAGGAATCAATTTCGCATATGCGTGAGAAGCTTGCCGTGCGTTTTGTTATAGGCGTGCCTGCGGAAGCTGGCGCACACATGTTGCCATGCAGCTTCAAATTCATTACCAGAAATCGGTAACCTCGCCCAGCAGAGGCGCAAGACAATAAGATTTTTCGCCTCGCGTGGAGAGGCTCAGGCGGTAAAGAAAAATCGCAAGCATGAGCGCCATCACCACCATAATCAAAAGTCCAGTCATCAAAACCGCCAGCATTACCATCACCACCAAGGTCACAACCATCAAAACGCCATCATAACCACCAACAACACCAAGATCACCATCATGAGCTTGTCATCAGAACCCGCATCATCACCACCAGGATCAAAACACGTCATCATATCCGCCATCATCACCAATATCACAATAAAATCGCCATGACAAGCGCCACCATCAAACATAACATGATAATCAAACTCGGTTGATGTTTGGCGATTTGGACGTTATTTAAGCTTGGGTGATCTTGGGCGTTTGGGGCGTTGTCCCTTGGGGCCCTGCGAGGTTTCGTGGCCCTGTGGGCGTTCTTGGTCGGGTCCCCTCCCACATTCGGGCACTCTCCATCCTCCATCGTCCATTTTGTCTCAAACGATATTGGGAGGCATTGCAACGGGCAAGTCACAGGCAGGCAGCAGTCACTGCCCTACAAACCGCCCAGCAGAGTAGACATGGCCTCTGCCACTGCAGATGATGATGGCGACGTTGACGACACTATCCATCTGTTGCAGAGTGACCATTGCATGGACAAGGTTGCTATGTGCGCATACTGGATCCTGAAAAACATCGACCCGGGCCTGAAGACGAGCCTCCTGCTGGAAGACGCGACCCGCCACCCGATTCACATAGTGGACGTTCTGAAGGGCCCGGTGGAAAGCGATCTGATTGCCAATTACCACTACATCAAGGGAGCCATCACCGCGATGCCCGACAATATCCCGAGCGTGTACTTCTTGGCGGACGTCCTCCGCGTGCAGGATCACCACTTGCAGGGGAATTTGCTTCGCCTGAACCCCCAGATCGTGAAAGACCTGAAGCTCGACACCAAGGATGCGCTCGCGATCTATGTTGCTGGGTTGTGGAAAAGGTGCCTGCAGTACTCGCGCTCACTCTTGCGAGGCTCGAAGGGCGGCCTGGCATCTCGGTCGCCGGAGGTGCAGGACCTGAAAGCTAGCATGTGCTACACATACAAGCCCAGGACAAGCTCCAGCACTGGCTCTACGGGAACTCCTGCAGGCACGGGAGTTGTGGACATCCACTCTTCAGATGGGGATCAAGCTGGTCTCGGGTTCTCTGAGATGGAAGGCAACCCGTGCTACGACTCCGACGGCGCCGGGCATGAGGAGAGCGGAAAGGCCTTGAAGGCCTTGGGGGACGGTGCGCAGAAGCCCTTCGGCGGCCAGGATCCGGGGGTCGACGCCTTGCGAGACGGCTCGCGCACGCCCCTCGAGGGCGGCGACGCCGCGCCCAAGAGCGGCATGGCCTGGGAGGCCTTGGAGGACGGTTCGCAGTTGCCCTTCGGCGGCCAGGATCTGGAGGTCGACGCCTTGGGAGACGGCTCGCGCGCGCCCCTTGAGGGCGGCGACGCCGCGCCCAAGAGCGGCGCAGATATGGCGGTCGACGACGGCGTGATAGTGGATGGCTGTCAGGCTGCGGCTGAGCAGGAGCCATGGCCAGAGGACAGTCTAGCTGCGGCTGAGCAGGAGCCATGGCCAGAGGACAGTCTAGCTGCGGCTGAGCAGGAGTGGCCAGAGGACAGTCTAGCTGCGGCTGAGCAGGAGTGGCCGATGGGCAGTCAGGCCGAGGCTGAGCAGGAGTGGCCGATGTGGAGTCAGGCCGAGGCTGGGCAAGATCAGTTGCTAGAGGGCGACGGCAAGGACGAAGCCATGGGCAGCGGTGGTGGCCGGAAGGACTACGACGACCTGGTGGAGGAGAGTCCCAGCATCGAGGCGATCGATGACGTCGGCGACTTGACAGAAGACACCCTTAACCTGGCAGGCCAGCTCCAGGCGCAGGAAGACGGCGATGCGGCGGCGAGCAGCGCCAAAGACATGGAGTACGTTGCTGAGCTGTGTGGCTGCGAAGGCCCTCCATTAGACCCTGTCCCAGACATGCGCTCGCGATACCTTCGCCCGCGGGCCGAGCCCATCAGGCCAGTGGTGGAGCAAGTCAGAGGTGAGATGGCAGCAGCACCGCCGCCTCCTGTCAGCAGCATCGAACAGAACTTGCTGCAGAGCGGCAAGGGCAAACACGGCAAGGGCAAGGGCGAGAGCTCGGGCAAGGACGAGGCCCACAGCTCGGGCAAGGGCAAGCACGGCAAGGGCAAGGGCGACGGCTCGGGCAAGGACGAGGTCCACAGCTCGGGCAAGGTCAAGCACGGCAAGGGCAAGGGCGACGGCTCGGGCAAGGACGAGGTCCACAGCTCGGGCAAGGGCAAGGGCAAGGGCGACGGCTCGGGCAAGGACGAGGTCCACAGCTCGGGCAAGGTCAAGCGCGGCAAGGGCAAGGGCGACAGCTCGGGCAAGGACGAGGTTCACAGCTCGGGCAAGGGCAAGGGCGACAGCTGGGGCAAGGACGAGGTCCACAGCTCGGGCAAGGACGAGGTCCACAGCTCGGGCAAGAAGCGCGCCGGGAACTCCGGCGGCTCCGAGCCCAGGGCCAAGGTGAGCAAGGGCCAGTGCAAGGGCAAGCAGACCA